TTGCCCACATGACTACATTCCAAAACATCCAAAGCTATACGGCAGCTGAATTTTCATTACTTAAAGGAGCTGTATGTAAGAAATGTATTTCAATTAATCATAAAATGGCCCTGAAATGTCACTAGACATTAAGAAATCATGTACATTTCAAATACTTATATCACTGACAACAGTAGTCTGGCCAGGATATTGTCATTTAAAAAGTGCAGTTGCAGCCCTCAACTGATGTTGATGTTGTCATCTTGTGTTTTGGTCTGATGCTCCACCCTCCACCTATCTACCAATCACGAAGTCAGTAGTGTTGCGGCATCCGGGTTGCCAGCTCTGCTCTAGTTACCACAGCTGCAGCTCGTCACGTTCCTGCTGGATCCTGCAGCCGATCTGGCAACCTCCAGTCAGGGGGGAGGGGGAGGGGATACTGGATACTACAGTAATTTGACAGTGATTGCAGTACTAGTTTTGGCCACAATCTTACAAACAGCTCCTTTAAGTCTCTAGTGTCACATGATCCTTCAGAAATCATTCTAATATGCTGATTTGATGCTCAAGAAACGTTTAGCCTATTATTATCATTTCTGAAAACCGTTGTGATATATTTTTCTTTGATGGATTGAAAGTTAAAAAAACAGCATTTATAATTTAGAAATAATTTTTAACAATGTAATTGTCTTTACTATCAATTTTGATCAATTGTATGCATCCTTGCTGAATTATTAATTATTTGACCCCAAACTACTGAACCTGAATGGTCTCATTTTATTAACATGATTAATCCTGTATAATATGATAATTTTATTAATAAAATCCTGTTGTTTTATTATTTTCTCAGATACCGGAAGAATCTGACCTTGGCTAAGAAACAAGAGCAGCAGAGAGAGGTAATGAGGGGATACTGTGTCATAAAACGAACACAGCAAAGTCATGAAAAGCCAATTGTGTGTATGCTGGAGGTTTTGTGTCTGAATAATTTACTCATAATAGGCAAATTAGAAAGACCTTCAAGCTGTGCTTTTAAGAATTTACAATTTATTGCTGTAATCTTCACCTTACCTGCTGGGGATGAAGGGAGTTTTCATGATTGAATCCCAGTGAGACAAAGAAGCCTCAAAATATGAGCATGGCACTGGCATTGCAGAGAATAAAATGGCCAAATAATTTGATCACAGCATTGCAATTTTATGTCATTTAAAATATATGGGCGAAGGTTTTTATTCACTCACAAGTAGAGTTGTTCCGATTCCGATACTAGTATCGGAAATGCCACCGATACCAATAAAAATTCTGGCATCGGTATCGGCGAGTACTTCTACCCATGTACCGATCCGATACCCTTTTCTTAATAACTAGTTATGCACGCTAGCTTTGCAAATCGGAGATCAATTCTTCTTCGCTGCTCTAAACAGTGGTTGCTTGTGGCAACACAGGAAGTTGTGCTGTTGCCACAAGCAACCACCCACTGTTTAGAGCAGCGAAGAAGAAAGTCTGCGCTAGCAGTATCTCCGCTGTTTGGCAGTATTTAAGACTGGACCAACCAGCCAGTAAAACGGCGACATGTCTCATATGCCATACTGCAATTTCGAGGGGTGGCACAAGATTAGCAGCTTCAACACTTAATAAAGCATTTGAAGACGCGTCACCCCGCAGAACACGATGGGAAGGGCAGAGAAGGATGAGCCGCGCCAGAATCAACAATCTCTGGAAGCTTCATTGAAACGAAGAGAAAAGTTTTCAAAAGACAGCCAACGAGCGATAAATATAACCGACAAAATTATCGAGTTTATTGTTCTGGATGACCAGCCGCAGTCAAAACTGAAATGCTGTGTATTTAACAAAATTGTTTCTGGACTTTAAGTTATAAAGAGGTTATTTTCTTACATTGTTCATATATCATTTTTTAGATTCCTAGATTTATTTGTTGCACTTTTTTATACATTTATATTGTAAATCTAAAATCCTTTTTCAGTTTTAAGTATTAGATGTGTGGTTGCATTTTAAGTTCTTTTTCACTTAAGAAAAATAAATAATATATTGCTGTGAAATGTATGTCAGATAATAAAAATACTCATGTTTTAGTAAGGGATAAGTCTGAAGCACACCATAAAATAATTCTATCAATTCATACAGGGCTAGTATGAATTGCAGCTGTATAGATACACACCCAGGTATCGGATCAGTACTCGGTATCGGAATCGGTATCGCGAAGGGAAAAAGGGTATCGGAACATCTCTACTCACAAGGTGGTTCTTGTCTCACTGTGACTACGTTTACATGCAGCCAAATTTCGGGTTTAAGGTCACTTTTCGGGTTTCTGAAACATTAGGGATAACCCGTTTACATGCGTGAGCAGAGAGAGTTTCTCCTGTATACATGGAATTGCAATATCCCGATGTAAACGCGACGCGCGGTTAGCGTCTGGACGTACGGACAACCTTAAGACGCAATATGCGTCATTTCCCATTCTTCTTCCTGTATCCAAAGACAACAACAACAGCAGCACGCGGATAATGAATAGTTCGGGGCAGATAACGATCGCCTTTGTTTGCGCTTTGGTGCTGGTAACGTTACTGACCTCGCTCCAAAAGTATGCTGTGCTGCGTCTCGCCATGTTTACTTCCGGTATACTGCACGCGGGGTTTTGTATGCGCCGAGAAGTTTCTCTACTCAAAAGACCAAGATTCCTTGCGAATAGAACATGCGCAGAACACACATCACTATGGGGATATGCCGATGCGCGTTTACATGACCAAAAATTCGGGTTAGAAAAGGGGTACCCCAGGTATAATATCCCGGTTTTTAAAATCCGGGATATGAGCATATTCGGGTTTTTGCCGGTGTTTACATGGCCGTTCGCGACCGGGTTATTGCTAATATCCCGGTTTTGAACGGGTTATTGGCTGCATGTAAACGTAGTCTGTGTAAATCATGAAGATCCCCTTTGTGGCACCAGATGTTATTTTAACCACAAACACTTGTCTGACAGGTCTTGACTTCATTTAGTTTCATGTTTAATGTTTTCTTACATTACAGCAAACCTTCCACATTAGCAGAAACACATACAAGGAGTTTAATCGTAACCTTCAAGCCATGGTGAACTCCATGTGGAATTCCTGGTGGGGCATCCCTGGTTCAGACCTTGAGATCGACAAGGATCGAATTGCTCTGAGCAAAGTAGCAGAACCCTGGTGCCGTTTCGACCTCATCCACCACCCAGCACTTTTCAGCTATGCCATCGAATTTCATCAGAGGGTGAGTGAGACATTCTCACAGTGCCGTTTAATAGCACTAGAGTTCGTAACAGTACAGTGATGCTTGACTGTCATCTGATTTGGAGAGAAGGAATGGGACTCAGCTGCGTACGCTAATTAGATGATTATATTACATCAAGTGTAAAGCCTTGTCACTACTGGGGACAGGGCAGCCTCCTCTTTTCACTAATAACTTTAAGATTGGACAAAGATAAATGTGGTATTAATGTATCTTTTATAGAGGATCCATTAATATAAAATCACATTTTATTATTCATGGAAGCTGTGTGAGACTGGAGTTTTCATCATCTTTAATAACACAAGTACCTTTTTTGGTCCGACTGCAACATTCAGCAGTGTACTACTGAGATTTAAAGCAGAGGGAGAACAATGTATATATTTTTTATGTTCTCTTTATCAGTGTTGGCCGGAGAGGAAGGATGTGGATATTGGCTCCATAAAGGTACTAATGTTATATCATCTTCTTTTTATTAAAAACCTTTTTGATGTTTGTCTCATAGATTTTATTTCTGAGCTAAGTCATACACAGTAACTGTTCTTTTCATGTTTGCAGACCGGGAAGTACTGGAACTGGTATATGGAGTTTCTCTTTAATCAAGGCTTTGATGGCCTCAACAACTTTATTCAGACCAACACTGGCCACGGCTCCAGCTGTCAAGATGACAGGCAGCCCTCGAGTCAGACTTGATGCTGGCAGGAAATCCAGGTGTCAGGGGATTCATAAAACATGTATATATTTTATAATCATCCTCCGTAAGATGGCAGAAAGGAACCACTTGCATCATTGTAAATACTAAATGTACATTACAGGCCATTTTGTTACTTTCTAGTCTTTTCTAGTGTTGTGTATATTTTAAGCCTTTTTTGCATTTTTATCATTTGTGCACAGCAAACAGAACTAAAACATTGTGATGAACCTTAATATTTGGGAAAAAAATGATTATGACTGTTTTAAATGCCATCTAGAATACATTTCTCATTATTTATAGCGATTTAAAACTGATGTCATAGATTGATGAAAAGTCTTGTTTATTATTCCTATAAACCAGATGCGGCTATGTATCGTTGACTGGTCTCACATTAAAATGAATCATTTGCTCTCAGATGTAGCATTAGGTGTTGCAAAGTTGTGTGTTCCTGGCATTTGTCAGGATCCACTGGACTTGAAACAGGACTTGTTTGGAGACCTGTTCACTTGTAATGATTGAGCTTTTGTATGATATTTGACTCAAGTATAACTTAGTTGTATTATTTTCAGATTAAATCACACAAGTCTGTTTTTAACATTTAAAAAGCCTGATTGTACTGAGAATTATAAGATGATTACACATATTTGCACCGTTTGATGACCTAAATTGTAAAAAAAGAAAAAGAAAATTATAGATTTTTTAATAGGTTGGTTTGTTCAAAAACCTCAAACTGGACTTTGTGGTTTTAATGCAAAGGATATACATTATACTTCTCGCTATAAAGACTGCTCCTTTAAAATGCAATAAAGACCAGTTTTCCACAGGAACACTAAGCATTCCCTAGGTAACTTGGTCCAAGTGCCTCCTAGGAAATCTCAGCATCAAGGTAGTGTGAGCAAAGCTCTACGGCTTTACGTTTTACAGCCCGTTTCATAAATGCGAGCGCCTTCAACTCTGCGTGACACATCTTCGTGTTTATGACGAGCTCTGGAGATGCCTCGCGACGATGTGTCCCTTCTCTCGACCGTGCTATTTTCAGCGATGCCGTCCAGCAAACTTCATCTGGAGTGAAGGAAGAATATGCGCACTCCTCCGGGATTACAGTTGATGCGTTATCATGAATTGAGGCAGGTGCAGAACTTCAAACGATGAATTCCACGAGCGCAAAACTACGCGATATCTCCCTTGCTCGGCTGATGTCCTAGTTCATGTATGAGATTATTTGCTCACCGCCGACTGCCTGTTCATCACTACTCCACTCTCATCCCGCAGCTTTCCTCTTTTTATCTGAGCGTCCGTGTAAAATGGAAATCTGAAGTGCTTTACTTTCGCTGTTTCTCACCTTTCAAAAGAAAAGGTAAGACACTATTTGCTGTATACTTCACAAGTGTGTTGATTGTTAGAACCGTAAAGCTTTTTAGTTTCAATTTAGAGACGCGCGATAAATTATTCTAGTGATGTGCATTAGGCTAATTATTATTAATGCCAACTCCTATATCGTGTAGGCTAAAGGCCTGCTGTTAACTGTCAATCTTTAATCTTTCTTGTTTTGCCGGTTGACATGTCAGTGTAGCAGACCTTGTGGTTTCCGATGGTCTAAGAAAAAATATCTGGCAAGTGATGCTTAAATTATTTGACATTCATCTGCCAGTGACTTTGAGCTGAAGTAATGTAATTGGGATGTTAACGTTATAGGCTACGTTCTGGTTTTGAAACGTGGTTTCATCCGTTCTTTTAGTAGGCTAGCTACTTTTGAGGAAGAAATATAATTCCTATTGCATTCACTGCCCTTTGCTGTCGGTTGGCATGTGAATGTGATCATTTCAGCGGTTGGAGTTAAATTATGATTTAAGTAATTTTGTTTCTGTAAATGAGTCAGATTAATTCACTAGCCGCTCCGATTGATTCAGAAGTGTTTTTGATTCATTAAAACGAGCCTGGACATTCGAGTAAGTTATCGGACTAGAGACAGCACGCTGTTTGATTTTGATTCAGATTCACTAAAAGAACCGTCTCATGAGGATCACTCATTCGGACTACACGTTGTTGTGTTTCAGCTGCAGATTCAGTGTTAGTAGTGCAGGAAACGTTATAGCATTTTAATTTACACGCTCTCTTTCTATTTAGTAGCTAAACAAGAAAAAACGCCTCATATTGAATTAATCAAACTACAAAAGCTAGGCCTACTGTCTCAGATTCATTCGATTAGAAATCGCACAACAACCATATGTTTTTATTTTCACTAAAATAACCGGTTCATATGAATCATTCCTTCTTGGCTCTAAGAACACCGTTCACTTTATACGTTTTTTTGTTGAGCACGGCCACTATAGAAATGTTTCTGGCTGTATTTCTTTGATTTTTCTTTTACTTATAATTACTCGAACTCAAATTTCCCTCCTCTCTTCTCTTCCAGGCAGACATAGGCCTACATAGCGTCTAACTTCTCATTATGAAAATGAAATGTGTGCGGGTTTTGACATTTTGTCCCCGAATCACGTTCATAAATGTCCAATGTTGTGTCACAGTAATACAAGATTGAAGCTTCTTAAAAGCGCTATTGTGACTCGTGCTTTGATGTTCTTTGAAATGCCGACAGCCTTTGGAGCTGGTTCATGCTGAACAGCCACAAAAAGAGGAAAAGTAATAAATGTCGAGCCCGATCTTAATGCTATAGATACAGTAGATCCTGCTGAAATGATCAAGAGTCATCAGCTCATCCACTTTGTTCACGAGTCATTCATTTTATGCCACGGTCACACAACCCTCTTCCACTTAGATCCTTTCCTTTCCAGATCATGCATGGTCATCCCCTTTCCTTGCTGTCACCATTTTTTTAATGTTCCACAGTTATGGCCAACCTGAAAATATCAAGTTTTTTTGGTGAATGTTCAAAGTCATGGAAAAGTCATTGAAATTGCTAGTGAATGTAAATTTCTCTATAGTTATGCTCTGCATGGAGACTTAGACCGTTGTACACAAATGAATATAATTTGTTTGAAACTGTAATTCAAAAGAGTGGTACCTGACTTACAGCAAAAAATAGTCTGAAAAACTAGTGCAGTAATCATGAACTGTTCAAAATGGAAATTATTTTGTCTCAGTATGTGGGAACCATGAATGTTCAATCATTCTGTGTAATCTGAAAATGCATTTACCAATCATTCAAAATGTATTCCTTTGTCACAACCCTTTCTTTTCCCCCCAGATGAGATCATGCATGTCCATTCCCTCTCTTGAAGTCGTCATTGTGTATGTGACAAACAGCAAGTGTTGTCTGATGACACTTTTTGAAATGTGTTTTGACAAGACCATTAATTGGTGCAAAATGTGTGCCACTACACCTCTGAATTGTAACTCATTTTCTTAGTGATTTTGTTTTCCCTACGCACATCATCAGCATGTACTTTTGGACTACATTATTTATTTGCTCAGATGGTGGCTTGTACACAAAGAAGTATCAGGGGAAGTTTGCCTTGTTTTTTTGTTCTGCCTCACTTAGAGGAGGGATCTAAAAATGCCAGGAGTAGGCTATTACAACAGATTCAGCGAAAGATAAATTATTATATATAAACTATTTAAAGTTTGCTTTGAAGGTTCTGCTGATACTGTATGGCCTGGTTTCACAGACAAGGCTTAGTTTAAGCCAGGCATAGAATTTAGTTAAATTAAGACATTTAAGTAGCTTTTATAAATGTGCCTCACTGGTGTTTACTTGAGACAAAACAATCGCACTGACTAAGATATATAGATATATAAAATACATGTATATTACGGCAAATATCTTTAAAAAAAACTAGATTTGCATATCCTGAAGGGAATGCCAGTGCTTGCGAGGCAGAAAACAATATACATTTTGGGACTAGAACAAACCCTTAACTAATGTTTGATGAATATCAATACAGTGCCTTGCCAATATTGTGATAAACACATCTTCTTCTAGTCTTGCGAGTTGTACAGGTACAGAGCATAATGTTGGTTATATAAATTGGTATTCTTGTTTTCCTCCCATCTGGCTTTTGATGTTTTCGCCTGCAATCACATGACCTCTGATTGCCTTAGTTGGGGAAAGTTGTGATAGGATATATGACCCAGTAGTCAAGGGATATGACAAATATGGCTCTGAGTTGTGTAAGTTGAAAAGCAGAGTCATCCTCGGTCATCACAATCACTCTTGACCGGCAGCAGCATCAGCGGTGGCCTCATCTCCAACTATGCTGGAATAAAGCATTTTAGTCCTGTGAGAAACGGTTTGGTAATGATACGTGTCAGCAGAGTCGCGCCTTTGATGAGCACCTTTCCGTGCTTTCCCCTGGCCGTGAGACACGTCCTGTTCTCTGGAAGTGAAAAAACAGGCCAATCACCCCCCTGTTCCTTTCCATCATCCACGTGCTGAGTTAAAAGAAAGGATGACCAGACAGAAAGAGGTGCAAAGAATGAGCATAGAAAAGCAATTTGCTAACTCCATAAATCCAGCCACCTAGGGTACCTGACCCCAGAGATAGAAGCAGGAGGCCATTATTTAAACTCGGGTAACCAATGCTCTCCTATTAACATTGAAAGGGCTGGTGTCTGCTGGTTGTCTGTGGCACATTTATGTGTTTTATTTACTGCCTTGTACCGTATGGCCTCATGCGCAGGGCCCCCGAAAACTAGCTTAGACTGAAACTCTCAGAAGACGGCCTTAATATGGATTGATAACGGGACACAAAGTACATCTCCACAAGTTGCAGAATGCTAAAACTGCAAAGGTGATGCCTATGAAAGCCTGTTCTCTGTTATTTTAGGTGGTGATAAAATCTGTGTGTATGTTTGTTTATTGCATGGGGAGAGAGAAAGTGATGTAAAAAAGAAACCCCCTTTTGTGGGGGTGCTCTGGAGTAGTAGGTAAAGCTCTAGGCTGGTGACCATAAGTCTACTGAATCTATCCCCATATAGTGCAAGTCATGAGTTATTCCCATCGTACCTTCTATGAGACTTCTGCAATTCACTTTGGATAAAAGCCTCTGCTAATGAACTATTTATTTTAAATACATTTATAATTTATAATAAATTATTACAATTTAAAATAATGTTTTACTACTTGAATATATTTTAAAATTTTATTTATACTTGTGATGGAAAAGCTGAATTTTAAGCATCATCAGTCTTCAGTGTCACTTTATCCCTTTAGAAATCATTCTAATTTGGAGCTTTAAAAAATTGTCTTATTATTAATGCTTAAAACAGTTGTGTTAATGTTTTTGAAAGTTTAAAAGAACAGGATTTAATTAATATAGAAATCTTGTGTAACAATGAAAAAGTCTTTACTATACTACTACTACTAATAATAATAATAAAGTCATAGATTTTAAGGTGTAACTTCACCAATTATCAACCCATTTTTATTGTTAAAATGTCGGATGAGTTAACTCATTCTCCGTGTTTCCTGGACTGAGAAATGCAAGTATATTTGTCTGCAAAACTGTTGATTTTCTTATGCTTTTTGTATCCTTGCCCACGGGCAGAAAGAGGTTTATTAACAAAACAGTTATTGTAAGAGTGGGGTTATCACTGAAAATTGTATCGTAGGTTGTATACTCTTTAAACAGCATTATGGTAAAAAATTGAACACTGTCAACAGCTTTCGTACCTGTACCAAAGACTTAAGATATACATGCGACATTGTTTTGCTTCAGGGGGTTGGGTGAAACTGATAAAACGGCAGTTTCCTTCTTTCTTCTGTTTGGCCTAAAACACTATGTTCATTGTCATTCAGTTTGAAAGGGTAACTACGAACACTGAGGTTTTTCAGATTTTCCGTCACTATATTTTCTCAATGTTTACGAATCCTTGCACCCGGGAACAAAACAAGTCGACACCATTAAGTTTGCTAAGAAGTTTTATTGAAAGACCATTTTGCCTTGTCTTAAAAAAAATCTAATGAAAATCTTTTTTTTCCCAGAGGAATCCAAATGGAGTTACTTATGCACAATGTCCATGCTGCTCATTTCCATAACATGAAAGTGAATGGTAACCACAGCTGACAAACAAGATTTTTCGAGGTGAGCTTTTCACACAAAGTTTTTGAAAGGTTTCCGAAAATTTGAAATATAGTGCACAAGTCATATGGATCACTTTAATTTGTTTTCATATTACTTTTACTTTTTGAAGGTTGAAAGCTCCTGCTCCCTATTCACTTTCATTGTCTGGAAGAGAGCAGGTCGGACATTCAACTAAACATATTTTTTGGTGTTCCACATAAGAAATGTTGTTGTACTGGTTTAAAAAGACTTAAAAGGGAATAAACAAAGACAAATGCGCCCCTTTAAGACTTAATATACTACTTCCAGATAAATCAAATATTCTGATACCCCT